TGAAAAAGGCTGCCGGACTCTTCCATCTCCCAGATTCTTCACTGTGCCCCAAAGAAGGTGGGAGCAGTGTGGAGGTGGGGACTCAGGCAGGCCCCGCAGGCCCAGGAGGAGGGTGGAGTTCAGAGGGGTGGGCTGGAAAAAGGGAGAGAGACTCTCCTCCCTCACACCCCTTTCTCCCTCCCCGTCTTCACGGTGGTGGGTACACCCCACCCCTCCCGCTGAGGCGCCCACTTGGAGCTGGCCAACACGCACACCCAGGTGAGTGACTAGAAAATAATTTATTGAAGGAAAACAAAACAACAAACCCAGCACAGCAATAGTTAACAATGATGTTTTTTTGGTTTGCTTGAAAGTTTTAAGCCTGTCACCCGAGGACAAAGGCTGAGACTCTCAGATTCCTCTCATCAGGTGGGGTGGGGGCAGGTGGGGGGAGAAGAGGGGCGTCTGTCTACCTTTGGATGACCCATTGAGTAACACCCCCCCCCCAAATTCTGATCTCCATTAAACACTCAAGACCATGTGGTCTCTGGATCCTCGCGTGCCTCCAGTTGAGAAACCCCCCTCCCCAAAGACCAGCACTTGGGGAGAATTTGAAGGGGCCCTTGGGTCTTGGTGGCCTGGGTTTGATTCAACCACAGTGAACAGGACAATGTGAAATGGCCCACATTCCAGATAGGGGGGTGGGGGCCCTGCCTGGAATGTCCCCCATCCCTACCATCCTTGTTAGGTTGGTGCACCCCTTGGTTCCAGGCCCGGCCCCTCAGCACAACCCCACTCCAATCCCCCTTCCCTGGAAAGGGAGCCCGCGCCTCTCCCTCCTGCCCTTTCCTTGGCAAGGAAGGACAAGGAATTCTAATCCTGTCTCCCCACCCGCAGGAGCTCTGGGAAGCTCCAGGACCTGGCCTCCTGGAAAGAGTAGGCTCAAAGAGTGGTCCCAGAGGGCCCTTGTGTGAACCCTGTTCTCTAGGGTCTAAGGTGGGCTGGGGGTTGGGTGGGAGAGGTCCTACGCCCCCCTAGAACAGATAGAAGAAGTCGCACCCAGCCCAGGACCATGGAGACCGGAGGAATCTGGGGCACAGCAGGTGGGGCTGCGGCCACTAGAGCCTCAGAGGACCCTGTGGATCTGGGCATGTTGGGGCCACATCCCAGCCCCCACCACCCGGGGTGACAAGACCGGAACAATTGTCTGATTGATTGTCTCTTTCCTCTGAACAAGACACTTCGGAATTCATGCTCTCGTAAAACCCACCTGGGTCGGGGCCGGGGCCGGGGTCTGGCCCCAGACAGTGAGGGCACCCATCACGTGACCTCCAGAACAGGCATGGAAGGTGAGGGCTGGCAGGTGGGGGCGAAGGAGACCCTGGATCTGGTTCCTGTACATGCCCGCCCCGCCCCCATCTGCCTCCTACCCCCGCTTCCCTTCTCCC